GACTTCTGTGTTGACATTCACCCCTTGGCGCTCATATGACCTTATGCAGTTGTGAGCGCCGTAAAAACCTTACTAAAACTAAATTATCTCTCCTCCTTCTTTTCTTTGTATGTTACTCTCTCGTAACACTTCTAATCTTCAGCATTTACGTGACCTATTTGTGGTGCAAGTGCCATAAAACTCATGATGCTAAAATAAAACTTAAGTTAATCAGGATGAGCGTAAATTAAACTTCATTTCTGCTGTAAGCTGACGAAACTCCATTTTTTTGGTCACAGCAGTTTCGAGAAAAAAAGGTGTTTTTTTTGTCAGCGTAACCATTGAAAAATATTCATTCTGAAATTTGAATTCTAATTTATTCAAAAACTAGTCGCAGTTTCACTTTGATTTTTTTCACACACACAAGTAGGGTAACTAATCAAACTTTCGATTTAGCCACAAAAAAAAATAAAAAATTTGGGGCCAAAATAAAAACAAAAGTGTCCATGTTGTCTGTTTGCAGCTCCATGGTGGGTGTGGATCTGCCGGTCAAGGCCTGCGGTCTGCTCATGAAGAAAGAGTTGGACTACTTTGCCAAAGCCCTGGAGAACCCCGCTCGTCCGTTCCTGGCTATCCTGGGAGGGTAGGTCAATGACGTCTCGCTAGCTTGCCCACCCCCGGGTAAAGAAGCCCTTCACTTCTCTTCTTTGCAGAGAGGTTTTTTGACCAATTGTGTTTTTCTGAAGTGTTCTAACCTATTTTGTTATCTTGTTCTGAAATACAATGTGAACAGTTGGAAACAGCTTATCATGATGTCTGAATAATATCCCCTGTCAGATACGGTGAGGACTACACAATTTTTCATAGAGAGTGATAAACTTATTGGTGTTTTAAGCAGTGTTTTAAGGTTTGTGTCCTCGCAATACTTTTAAATATTTCAGAAGAAGTTTTTGTGTCTTGAACTTGAATTGTAGGTTATTTATTTTTTTTAATGTATGTGTTTTTGCACCCTCTTCGACACAATTTAGATCGTTAAAGAGGCGGGCTTTCGATCCTGCCTGTCATGGCCAACCTGGGCTAATAGAGATACAACGTCCCAGCAGAAAGGCTGAGATATTTAATAACAATTTCTTCCCAGTTGAACTTAAGTCGCATTTCTTCCCTGATAAACTTAAGTCACCTGCATTTGAAAGTGAAGTGCGTAACTGCTTCCTCGCAGACGCCAGTTTGTACTCTGTTACTAGTTGTTTATGTTTATGCTGTTAAGAAACAAATTACTGCAAGGATTGATGATAAAAGTGTTGGTTTTTTTTCCCCCAGCTCTTTCTTTCTTCAACATTTTGTAATTCTGAATCTGATATTTTACGTCCACTCCTTTTTTTCCCCTTAGAGCTAAAGTTGCTGACAAAATCCAGCTGATTGAGAACCTTATGGACAAAGTCAATGAGATGATCGTTGGTGGTGGAATGGCTTTCACATTCTTGAAAGTACTCAACAATATGGACGTAAGTTTAAAAATGTAGAACAACTCAGTAGATGTAGATGTTGTATGTTAAGATAGATGGGAGGGGGGCTGTTTTCTTTTTCTCTTCCTTCACTTTGACTCCTTATCTCTGGCAAACCGCTCCCAGCTGATTGGAGCATTCTTTTACGACGACTTCGACGTCAAATTACTTTTCGGCAATTGCAGAAAACAGGTCTCTTTTACCAGGAGTTCTTTCATTTATTGAAAAACAATCAAAATAGGTTCATTGGCTCAATCAAGTGGTGAATTTTTCACTTTTAGATTTTGTACCAAAAAAAGGCATCGGCATATCTCCTCTGAGGTTAAGAGAACTCTAATTTTCGGCACTCTATACTACCTTAGTGTGTTGTAAGTACCGGAAAACTCGTACTAAAACTAAACTCTAATCTTTGGCACTTGTATGACCTTATTGTGTTGCAAGTGCCATAAAACTCTTACTGAAACTGAACTCTAATAATTGTCAACACTCTATATGACCTTATGGTGTTGCAAGTGTCGTAAAACGCTTACTGAACTCTTTCCCCCCCACCCCTCCCTCCCTCCCTCCCTCCCCAGATCGGAGGCTCTCTGTTTGACGAGGAGGGGGCCAAGATCGTTGGCCGTCTGGTGGACAAGGCGAAGGAGAAGGGAGTGAAGCTTCACCTGCCCTCCGACTTCATCACCGGCGACAAGTTTGCCGACGACGCCAAGACCGCCACGGCGACTGTTGCGTCTGGCATCCCAGAAGGCTGGATGGTAGGTTGCCTGTTTCCGCGAGTCCTCCTCGAGAACTGTTGATATCCTGTGTAGTTGGTGATTGCCTGCGGTCCCTGTAGATTATTTGTGAGGCATCGCGGTGAAATCAGGGCTCTCGTCAAAATAAGGAAATCTAAAAATTTGGCATTTTTCTTTCTGTCCGGTAATTTTTAGCGAATTTTTATTTTTTGACTCAATACCTTTTAAGTACAAACGAATTTTTATTTTTTTACTCAAACCTTTTAAGTACAATTAAAGACACATTGCGGAGTAGATTGTACTGAAAAAAGTTGATGGCAGGATCAAAATATGTATATTTTCAGTTTGCAATGACTCTCAAGCTTTGGAAGTTACCAAACTTTGGCGGCCATTTTCTTGCTAATTTTACCCCTGAAACCAGGCTCCCCCCCCCCCCCCCCACCTCCTTCAACCCCAAATATCTCGACTTCTATTGAAGGTAGATGGGTAATTTTCTCATGAGCAGCAAGGCAAACGAACGAGCTTCAAGATGATACCAATAACTCACATACATAGGTATAAAAATTGGCAGGTGACGGATTCCACTATGTCATGAAGCATTTCGTTCTGTCTGTTTGTCAGCCGGCTAAGTTGTGCAAGAAAAACCAGTCTAGTATGAGTTGAATCTGGTATTTGGTTCGTTTTGAGTCACGTCACCTTTTTTCTCCCTGCCGCAGGGTCTGGATGTTGGGTACAAAACCAACGAAGAGTTCCAGAAGGTGATTGAAGGAGCAAAGACAATTGTGTGGAACGGGTGAGTTTCTGTGTGTGTATTTGTGTGTGTTTGTGTACATGTGTATATATTTTGAGGTTTTTGAGAGGTTTCTGTTGCTCTTTGAATAGTTTATGTGATGTGTGTGTGTGTATGTCAAGTTATCGTAAAGGTTCACTTTTTTTCTTGGAATATAATGTGTATGTTTATTCATGTGTACATACATTTGCCTTCTTGTGTGTTTGATTTGTTATTAAGAAGGTTTCCTTTTTTCAATAAATGTTATCAATAATTTTCCACTAACTTCTAAAAAAATCAGCTCTGAGCCTGCAGATAATATTAGGGTATTTGCACACCTGTAGATTCTATTCTTGTCTTTGTTTCTGGTTTTGTTTTTTTTCAGTAGTGGTTTTACGGCGCTGGCAACTGCATAAGGTCATATGAGCGCCAGAAGTTTAGAGGCGTTACAAGGGAGTAACAAACATGTAAAAGAAAAAGGGGGGAGAAAAGGACGATAGATGTTTGATAAGAAAGAAGGAGCAAACCTCACGAGAGCACCCGCCAACCACCCACGTTTCTGTTGTTTAAAAGTCAGGTGTATACTACATAAAGCAAAAGAGAGATGCCTGTTGTTTGTGTGTGTATCGAACAAAGAGAAAATGTGGGTAGTTGGCAGGTGCTCTGGTGTGGTTTACTCCTTCTTTCTTATCAAACCTCTTTGGTCCTGATCTCTCCTACTTCTCTTTTTTAATATATTTGTTGCTCTCTTATAACACCTCTAATCTTCAGCACATAAATGACCTTATTGTGTTGCAAGTGCCGTAAAATATTTACTGCAACGAAAACAAAGAGAAAATGGTTGTAGTGTGCTACTTTTGTTTTGTCTGGCAGGCCCCCCGGAGTGTTTGAGTTTGAGAACTTCAGCACGGGCTCCAAGCAGATGATGGACTCTGTGGTCAGGGCCACCGAGGCAGGAGCCATCACTATCATTGGTAGGTCACTTTGGGGGTTGTGGTTGATGG